GAAGGGGGGAGGGGGAAGAGAAGGGAGGGACGGTCACAACATTCTTGCTACAAGCATTGGTGCTTATACTGCTCATAAAGGCTTGGTGCTTATACTGCTCATAAAGGCATTTATTCCTTCCAGCTAAAATTTTTGTTGCTATTTTACCGCAAAACATGCAGCATTTTTAAAAATCATAAAAAATGCCGAATCAAAACCAACTGCATTATTAAAAAAAAACCATATAAAACGCAAGTCGGCGAGCCTTTCAACCCGTCTTTCGCAATTATACAACTAGAAGAAGTGACGCTGTGGATGTTTTAGGTATGGAACGATGGAACCCGAACAGAAACTGGAAGTTCCAAGTGGATAGACCAGGTCCACGGAACCACACTTTTACATATCAAACAAAATGCAAGCCAATCTGGCTGACAATGTTTGGGAGCCCTCGGATTAACTGATTTTTAGGAGCCCTAAGCCGCCTGAGCTACTGACTCTGACTGAAACCTATTACATCAGCTTTCACGTTAGAAAATTCTCCCCCACGTCCTGTGCAAGACCTTAAATCATCTGGTATAAAAGGGAATAATATGAATCTTCAACAAACCCCCAACGTATCCATCAAAATTCTCCTTTCATTCAATAAACTAACACGAAAATAACAAATTCGTACTTGGAAAAGTGGCATGCTCGAGAGCAGGGATACACTCCTCCCCCCTTCGCAATACCAAAACACGGTGCTGGCTAAATCCCAGACTCATTACTGTGTAAACCCTCAAAAACTTAAAACTGTGGTATCTCATCTGTAGTCGCGGTGTATCATACAGTCACGCATTCCTCGCCATCCTAAATGTTGTCGAAAGTTAGTTCATTCTCAGAGAAGTGATTTAACTCATTGCGGATAACATTAACCATATTTGCGGGTGTTATAAGTGGCTCATTGGACACTGCCACATTCTCCAGATCCATCGGAAGATCCGGTGCGCTGACGTCAAAAGACCGCTGCACCTCATCGTCCACTGCTCCTCGATGAATTTCGACCACACGTGCTGCATTTCTGGCCGCCGCTGCTGTCACGTCGGTTTGCATCCAGTTCGAAATGCCAATACCGCCTGGCTCCGGAGTCGAATATGCACCGTTGTATGATACTCTAGAATGCAAAAAATGAAAATAAGGTGTATTTCAGACAACACGCACCACTGCTGCTCACTTATATATGCTCAACAAATACACTATGGATCTGGGTGCTTTAAAGCACCATACCGTCGCTCCCCGCTAAATGGCGCTGGAGAGAAAGATGGAGCGAAGGATGCTTGAACGATCTTCTCATGCTCATAATGAACAGTACTTCTCAGGAATGACCTTATCAGAAATTCCTAGTGCCTAGCTTGCTAGCAACCAGTGGACATCACTTGCCAGCAAATGGTACTTACGACAAGATAGATGATCGTTGGGACAT